AATGCACTCGTTCGCCCGCTCGAGTCTGGTCCGATCCCAACCTCTACCTACTCGTATCACATCACAGCAGACACGGACACTCTGCACAAATCTTGACGCAGGCTGCACTATGTATGTGTTTTGGTTTATTTTCCTTAATTATTGTAGATAATGATGTATCGTACAAATATTTTAATATAATTGATTTTTGTTATTTTAATAATGAATGGATGTAAGGGAAAATTATTATTATTAAGGAATAATAACTATGTATAGTCTGTAAAACATTACAAATATATATTACCCTTTCAAAACTTGGTAATCCTTACAATACATTTCAAAAAAGGGAGGTCCGATATTATGCATTTTATATGTTTAAAAGGGGTATTACCCTTATGTACTTTTATTACATTCATAAACCTTACAGTACCTTATACAATGTTGTACTACTTTATCAGAAATCGAGGTCCGATAATATGCAAATTACTTTTTTTACTTTTTTTACTTTTTTCACACCATTATAATGTAATATAACCTTTTAGACTTTTTCCCGATGACGAGAGCGGAGAACTGTAACAACTATATTATGGAATTTTTCTACTCAACAAGTGGTACATAATTTATGACAACACATTTTGTGTAATATTTCCGACTTTTCAGAAGATTCAGCTTACTCAGCATGTAATATCTGAGAGACTTGTGTAAAGTATGAAATATTCTGGATATATGGGCAGGAGGTCCAAAATGTATGTCTAAGACCACGGATCATACCGCGTGAGTAACGTGGCGTGGGTGTAGCGTGTCACACACATCACACTCTCGCACGAGAATTCGTGCTCAACGTAGAGGATTCATACAGCAACACACTAGACGACGACGAACATGTCCGCCATCCTTAGAGGCACCTCTCGTATCGTGCGTATTGCTTTTCGAATATTGACTTGCAACGTATTGGACTTACTTGGTCAATTATGTAGGCTCGCCTCGGCCAGACGCAATGCCGTTGCTTCGCTAGTTCGTCTGTTGCGCGTAAAGGTCCGTATATCTAATCCATACTTCTATATCCTGTGACCTTAATATCTAACTCGGACTTGTTCTGCTTTTCTTCCTACTGCAGATATCGTTCAAGAGCTCTACCTCTCCGAACTAAGGTCTTACAAACCTCCTCCAGCGGTAAGTCCTCGTCCACCTTCTCACTCTGCTCAAGCTGCCTTTTGCCTCCGCATCCCGTATTTCTTCCTAGCTCTCATAATAATCTTCCTTCAATAGGCAAAAGATGCACATGTGGGTGTTGTAAAACCATTCACACCGGTCACACCTCCAAAGGCCCCTTCCCCGCCGACGGACCTCGCCTCCGAACTCGCAGCGTACGACGCGCAGGAACCTTCCCTCTCTTCGGTTTCTTCCACTTCGTCTGGTGCAGCAGCATCGTCGGAAATTCCTGATGAGAGTGGTGCAGGTGCAAAGGAGTTCTTGTCATTCCTAGAGGCGGATTTGCCGAAGCCGGAAGCGCATCATTGAGAGGGGAACGTTTGTTTTCTGTTGCTGGTGCGATAGAATAGGGCGGAACGCTAAAACGTAGTCGGTGGTGTAATTGCGTGCACTCTAAATAGAACTCGCGCGCTTTTTGACGCGCTTCAATTTCCGTTCCGCCTGCTGTACCAACACTCGAACGACGAAAAAGCTGTTGTAATAATGCCTAAGAGTACAGAAGTGGTGATTGCTAAGCCTACGACATTTTATTTAGTGTGCAAAGTGTCCTTTTCAGCTCCAATCGGACCCAAAACGGAAGAGAAATAGAGAATAGCAGTTACAACGTCAAAGCTAAATAGAAAGTGCTGTCAAAGGAGCCTCACACTCAAGCTCACCAAATCCCAAATACACCTCCAAACTAATGGGCCTATAAATCCACACCTCACCTTCTTCAAACCTCTCCAAATCATAACATTTCTTAACTGGTTCAGGAGGGTTAAAGTTCCGACTCTGCTCGACGACTTCCAATTCTCGAAATACCCGAGGTTCGATACTTGCCCCATCATAGAGATGCGCAGACGGAGAAGGAGTAGCATCGCGAGAAATGACGGCGGTGTGTTCTGGGTCGCCGAGCATACCGTACGCTCCTGGAGGACCACCGACGATACCGATTCGACGGACACTCCGCCATTCGACAATGTCACCTCTTCGTATGCGGTCATCGCCTCCGCGCCATCGTCCCACTTGAATCCCTCCAGGATATGCGCGACCTGCAAATATCAGGTGTCCGTGTGTTCGACCTAAGCTTGGTACAGGTGGTGGGATAGATGGATCCGAAGCGAAGAACTTGAGTGCCTCATTTGCAAGGTCCCAACATTCGCCTCTTGCGCAAAATTGACCTGAGCCCAAGTAGCTTTCTGCATAGCTCGCGATCGATTCTCCGTACATCTCGTTAGCCTGAACTAATAATTCTTGCGGAAGCGCGGGAGGTACAGGGAGGTATTTCGCTGACCGTTCCGTTACGCGACTGGTCGATACGGAGAAAGACACAGATACCCATGCAGCGCTGAGATCATTGAAGAGAATGGCAAATTGGATAGACTTAGTGTCTCCGCGGGATACCATTTGCGCCTTGTATAGTCGATACAGGTTTGTTTGCAGAGGAGGTGGGATTGCATTGGGTCCAGCGTACCATGCTGTGTCCCATTGGGTCGAAGGGTGGAAATAATCAGCGAGGTCGAGTGCTTGGCTGCCATGCACTGTCGATGGTGGGTACGATGGTGTAAATTCAGATTGTGATTGTGAGACGGTGTCAATACTGGGTTTCGACCACGACCTTATCGTTGGCTAAGGAGGATAAATCGAAATCAAAATCAAAATTTGCTCTAAGCAGGGAAGATCTAACCGGAGGTCCAAGCTTTGCGCCCGAAACAACTGTTGCCTTTGACACAGGCGGAGCTGGAGGAGGCTCAACGTGTTCCCCAACCCTTCCGACTTCTTTCTTCTCTGTCTTTCCTGGGGAGGTGACTTCGGCTGCTCTCTGAAGGTACCGTGCAAAGAACTCATCAAGCCATTCAAAGAACACCTGCTTATCCGTGGGAGAAAGATTCGCCCAGTCAATCGAAGCGATTTCGGTTGAAACGTCGGCTTTTGGGGTTGGTCTTGACCGCTTCCAAGACTGTGGCTGCGACGAAATCGCAGGTCGAGCCTCCGCACCAAACGCCTTCGCCCGTTCTAGGACAGACTGAGTGCGATCAAGTGCAGGTGGAAGTGAAGATTCCGATGGACTGGACAGTGTGTTCGTATTCATAACCGGCTTGGTGTTCCGTACAACAGGTGGAGGAGCTGACTCTGTCGCTCCCACGTCCTCCGTTCCATCCCCACTTGTCCGTCCGAAGCGCTGACCTGATACATGCGAGCGCATCGGAGGTGGAGGAGGCGGAGGGGCTTTACGAGCATCAGGAACGTATCCAGCTTCTGCGAAGCGAGTCTTGGCCATGGGCATACTCGAGTGCCGGTCTCGAGTGTTTTGGACCTTTGTCACTGTTGCATTCTTCGCAGATACTGCTTTGTCTTTGATTGTTGCGACTGTATATGCGTTTATATATGAGATGCAATGTCAGAAGTGAGTGGTATATCGAAGTGGAGGACGAACCGTTGAATGGCATAATGTTGCGATGGAGGCTCAGGCTTAATTACGACCTCACGAGTTTATTAAGTATTCCAAGTCAACAAAGCAACTCTTTGTCTTGCTTGAATTGCAGAGATACACCAGCTTCAATAGGATATAGCGGATTGGATAGTGGTCCTAAGTGGAACTTGACAGAGTTATCAAGCTGATTCAAGCACGCGTCGACTAATTATTAGCGTGAGAATGTACCCTGCTACAGTCCAGACGCATATATTCGCGTCCATCAACTTAATTCACGAACAACAGACATCCAGATAGATGCCAGGGATACTAACATACACGAAAATGTCAATAAAATATTTTCACCCACGAGCTGGCTATAAGCCAGCACATTATTTCGCTAAAAAAAACAAGAAACAAGAGTACACTACAGATTGTCGCACACTGGAAATTAGCGTCCACAAGCCAGCATCACACTTGTGACTTGGCTACTTCCAGAATACCTGATGGTCGATAGTGAACAAGTACAGTCTGACCATACACACTTTCAAAACGCAAAGTCTATGATGTCCCCTGAATATCAAGTTAGAAGCAAAGCCGTCGATAGCGTTCACCATTGCATTTAGCAAGGAAATCCTTCCTGTCTTGGATACGCCGATAGACGCCTTCCCGGTCAGTCGTAGAAAACGGGTAGTGAAGCACGTTGACGCCGATAACATAATCCCATAGCTTCAATGAGTCCCAACGTGACTCCAGCATGTTGCACAACGCATCTGCACATTCCTGGAGATCGCCAACAACGGAGTACGTACGAAAGAAAAGCCATCCTAGCTTGGGACATACAATCTGGTTGGGTATGTCGCGGGTGTAATTACTTGTATCAGCGCCTGTTCGTATTGAGAGAAGCTCAAAGAGTCGCGCTGATACGATGCGTAAACTCAAGCTGAGCGCCTGGAGCATGGGAAGGAGAGGGAGAACGCGCATGATAGTTTCTTCGCCCGCACAGCTCCCACAGATTTCCAAGCGTGTCAATGGTGGTAACGAGCGTTCGACAAAGGTTAAGAGACTTCCACCTTCACTTCCAAAGTATTTAAGGACTTTCAGAGCGGGGAGGGCCAGTTTATCGATTAGTAGGACAGGAGCGGTATCCCGCAAGGAAAGGGTCTGGAGGTTGCGTGAGATGACCGAACGATTTTCATTATTAGTTGGACGATTCACTTTGAGGACAATCTGGAGTTTCTTCAAATTTGGGGCCACCTCAAGGAATGTTAGACATTGTTGCACCAAGGAAAATCCCCCCAAATCGAGATCAACCGAGCGCGCCAGATGCACAGGCTTGTCTCCAAATTCTAGAAGGAACGGACCATTGAGGTATAGGTATTCAAGCTTGGAAGACTGTGCAAGGTTGATGCTGCCAGCCTTTTTGGCCCCATCGCTAAGTTTAAGGTGGAAGCGTAGTGCAGTCAGCATTGGCATATTTGTTAGCTTTATACCGGGAAAGCCAGGAGGTATCTATATTTGCTAAATTAGTTTACTTTCCCCTAATGTCACCGATAGGAAGTGGCATTAGACAATGCGTTCAGCTACTTAACCATCCTCTTGAGACCTGTTATCCTCGAAGTAACAGATGAATTAGAAATTGCGTGGTACTCCAACCGATCAGTCAAACCATACATCGAAAACCTCGACGAGCCGTTTCTGAGGCGGTCGGCGAATGTAGTGGTTCAGGGTTATGCTAAGTGCATGGCATGAGAAATATTCGCACAATTGCTGACAAACGACTGAAACTGTCTCTAATGCATCAACATTCTTATCAAAGTCATGGACGTTGCATACACACAGGCAAAAATGTCGTGAAGTGTCTCCGGAGGTAGGAAATTGATGCCCATGGCGACAAAATGGTCTCGTATGCTAAATGGGAATCGCAGAAAACTGTAGAGCAAGGAAGACGCCACTATTGCTTTGACGACATGAATCCGTCAGTCTTGCTATGAGGTCAATGCAAAGCGGTGTGAACTTAACCTACTAACGTTGACCGCTATTAGTAACTACTAATGTTACTTGGGGCGGTTTAACTATTAGGAACTGGGTTCGGGCACAAGGGACGCATGGGACGCACGGGAAGCATGGAACCTTGCAAGTGAGTGCGGGAACTTCAATAGGTTTCATTATGTAAGTGGATACCCAATCTAGCTAAAGCAAGGGCTAGTCGCCAATGTAAGAGTGAAATGACTATAGCAATCGCCGGCTGCACTGACTGAATTGAATAAAAGAATATGGGGTCCTTAATGGCTACTGTTTTGTACCATCACTTTGACGGATTTTGTCCAAAATGTTTCAAGTCAATGTGATCCGATAATTCCAATCAATTTGTGACTTACAAGTTACAACCCTGCTCAGATATTTATGCTTTCTTTCAAGGGTCACTGGCATATTGAAACCACAACAGGAAGGCATAGCTCCTGCTTTATTGTATACTGTTACAAGGAATTCTATAACTCTCTTGACTGTACAGCTGATTCAATGCATATTTCTGATTCCTCTAAAAGTACATACTATACAGCTCAGAACTTGACCCTAGTCTATATTGCAAAAAGAGCTTCTGCAAGGCCTTCTGTGTGTGGCACGTTGATGAAACTATATCCATTATGTTTGGTTAACTTGCCAGAAGCGTTCCAGGCACCAAACTGAGAATGCTATTGTACTACTGTTGTGATTATCTAGATCTTATTCACATAGTATGAGATTCCTTTAAGGAATGGTGTGATCAGTCTTAGGAGTGCATGTTGCTGTGTCCCTAACTTGAAGATGACTGAACATAGGGTAACTGTGTATTTCAAGTAAAAAAACTGAGTGCAACACAAAATATATTATATAGGTTTCTACAAATGCAAAAGGAAAAGAATGGCTTTATTGAGAAGTACTGGATAAATCTTATGATAGAATGTTGCAGATCTTGTACCAAGCCAAGGTTGTAATCACTCTGATGCAAATGGATTAGGATACACCGGGTTCCATACAGTGAACTTAGCTCCTTACTACTATTGAAGTCCAATCTTGGCTAGGTCAGTTATACAGACTTGTTTGATTTCCCTGACTAGTTGATAGATAAGAACTGTGGGAAAAACCTAGTCTAATAGGTACGTTACGTTACTAACTATAATTAACTTTTACTACAATCTAGAGTGTTCCAAGTTCTTCCTTCAGTCACATATGTCTAGTCAGAAACGGGCCGTTCTTTCTACCGTTTCTCTAATGTTTGTCATCATACTTTGGTTTAAAGCCAAGTCGATTTGCTTGTAGCTGCTATCATCTTGCTTTCTCTTCCCCAATGTCTAACAATACCAAGCTACTCTTTCTTCCAAGTACCCTAGAAAACTGGCCTTGGAAACGGGCAATAAATCCTTATTATGAAGAGGTCAAAGCAGAGGCTGATGCTTGGGTCCGCGCCTTCAAAGCATTTTCGCCTCGATCACAGTATGCTTTTGAGAAGTGTAACTTTTGTTAGTCCTCTCCTTGTGTTATTTCCGCAATAAACTACTGAGAGATATTCATATTAAGCGCTCCTAGCTGCACTAGCGTACCCATGGGTCTCTCGGGGTAGGTTGTGCACTCAATACATGGACACCAATAAAATTCACAATTGTTATGTAGAACACCTTCGCACAGGCTGCGACTTGTTGATTCTGCTTTTTGCCATCGACGAATACACCGACGTAGATTCTGAGGCAGCAGTCCGAGACATGGCCGATATTGTAATTGATGCCCTTAGAAACCCTGAGAAGTCCCGTCCTGAAGGAGAAATCCCTCTTGGGGAAGTTACTAGACAGTGAGTAAAGACAGGCAATGTGGCTACCAACACGGTTGAGACGCTAAGGTAGCTTTTACAGGTTCTGGGAGCGGGCTATCAAGACAGCCTCTCCAAGCTCTCAACGCCATATGATCGAAGGGTTTACATATTATATTGAAGAGGTTGTTCAACAGGCAGCACATAGGGACAATTGCACACAGCTCACAATTGCATCGTACCTGGAGAACCGACGTGGAAATGTTGGCTCCGTACCTGCATATGTTGCAATGGAACTTGACCTCAATCTTCCTGACGAAGTATTCTACCACCCCACCATCGCCAATTTGAGTGTAAACGTATCAGACCTACTCATTTTCGACAACGTACGTTGTACAACAGTGCAAGTCCTCGTTTAAAATACTGAAAAACTTTCTTAGGACATCTATTCATACAACAAGGAGCAAGCGGTCGGAGACGATCTTAGCAACATCATTACTATAGTAATGCACGAGTTCAGCACCGATTTGGAGGGTGCAATCAATAAGGTTGTTCAGCTACACGCACAAACTGTGAAAGAATTCCTCGACGGTCTTAAGAAGGTTCCGTCGTGGGGTCCGGAAATTGATTGCCAAGTCCAGCAGTATCTCTATGGACTAGCAAATTGGGTACGAGCGAACGACTGCTGGACTTTCGAGTGTGGACGGTACTTTGGCAACAAGGGTCTCGAAATCCAGAATAAACGCGTTGTGCAGCTTCTCCCAAAGGTTGCCCCTCCCCGTCAGGACACGTCATTGAGGCGCGAGAACGTTGCCGTTCCCCTCGTAGAGGCATTGGAGGTTGGCGCATGACAATTTTGTAGTAAAGGGAAATTTTAGGATAAAGAACAAATTGTTAGATATTACGCCCTCGTTCCTTTTCGGAAGGCAGGCTCGACCTTAGAAATTTCATGTATTTCAATGTCTTTTGTCATGTAAAGGTGTGTATCAGTGAAGTTTTATATCAATGGAAGGACAGATGTATATGTATGTGATTCTGCAGCTTGGTATAGACAAACGTGGAGAGCACCACCTATATTTGATCTATTGGTGTCAAGAGATGCCTGTCCTATCTTTGAATCCGTCAGGAGAAAGTCAAAATTATTATATACTCTTATATGTATCTAAAATATGTAAAAAAACAATATTATCCATAATGACATTTATTGCACCCCTCATTGGATAAGATATATAAAAGATACTATAAGGTTGTAATAAGATAGATTTATATTATGAGAATTAATAAACATTACATGTCTTTACAATAGGGATATAAGAATTATAGTTCTTAGGAAAGTCTATAATGGTATATATTGCACCCCTCTTTTGATATGGCATAATATTTCTTATGCTATCTTATAATCCTTATATAAGTTAATTTACAGCTTATATCTAATCTGAATGGCTTATTATACAATATATATTTTATTTAAATATTTTATTCTTTACTAACAATGATACATAATATTAATACATTATGATAGGAGCAAAAGTATCACTACCTTATCAAATCACAACAACTGATAGACGTACCGTGGGTATTCATCTCCTCGTGCTCTTTCTTCCCCTGCTTTGCAAGTTCGTCCCAGTACTTACGTTCCTCTACAAACAGCGAACGCCATTGTTGTGAGATCGTTTTGGAGAGGTCAGCTTGACGCTGATGTCGTGCTACCAGGTCGCCTCTGC